TTGTAATTATTAAATTTTAATAAAATTTAAAATATTTGGAGCGTATGAGCAAATTAGATATATAGATATTTTGCTACACATATTATTTAAGTATTTTTTTGAAGTGTATTCATTAATATTAGGTGTTAACATTAATTAATATTAATATTATTAATATCAGAATTATAAATATTAATATTAATTGGTGATAAATATTTATGAAAATTAATAAAAATAATTCAAATGGTTTAATTTTGATGTTATTCACATTCAAATTAATTAAAACTGTTGTGTGTGATTTTATATAAAATTCGGTGGAGAACTGAAGTTATTGCTAGAAGTGAAGTACATAAACATAATTTTATTGAATTCAAAATAAAGCAAGGAGAAATATATAAATTAATATGTATTATGAAATTATATCCACTTCAAGTAATATATTTAATTATTATTATATATACATAACTTTGTACTTGAATAATAATTTATTTAATATTAAAATGAAACTTTCAAATAAATTATAATCATTTTAAATAAAACAAGAAATTTACTTTAATTTCAGACAAGTTTAAATTATAAATATTTCACAAAAAGTAAGGAAAAAATGAAAATAAAGAATGCCCAAATAAATGCTATAGCAAGGCTGTCCAGATCAGCTACGAACGCAGACTAATACAAATCACTGTACAGATTGAAGGGCAGCAGAAACAAATATATACGTTCATAGTTGTTTTCGACAAAAATAAAAATACGATATTTACCAATTTAAATTCATTTATTAAGTATACCATAAAAATAAAATAATGTAGTTACGAGTACACCAAAATAAAATTTGCGTAATTGTAGTAGATTAAAAACATGTCGCGGGCCTCACAAATATTAACCGCAGATTGCATATGGATCGTACGGACCGTATTTTGGACAGCCCTGTTTTATAGCAATCGTATTCCTGCTTCTTACTTCGAATTTAAACATAGGTTTAAACTAGGTTTGTAAACTTAGTCGTTCGACTCCAAGCAATTCGTTGTTTACTTATCTGTTTCATTAGCAACTTTGCATTAACAATCTGCAATCATAAACATTTCAATAAAATATACCAATTGAGATTTTTTAGTTACATTTATTTGTTTAAAATACTTCAAAGCTTTTAGGTTATTGTATTTGCAGAAAAATATATAAATTTTGGAAGATCTGATAGTAATATTAGTTATTAAAGTTTAGTTGCATATAATATATACAATCATTCTATTTGCGAGGCGATTAGATATATTTCAGCACATCCGGTTGTTACTGTACCTGCATTTAGTCCTTTTTATTACCAATAGGTGGAAAATCTTAAAAACTTCAGTGTGACCCCTTGAACCGACTGGAATGTATTAATTGTTATCAACAACTGCTTATCTTGGATTTCAACCACATATATCACTGATTGAAGAGCAAATAAGAGAGGGTAATAAGCCTAATATTCAGCTAGCGATATATTTATCTGAATCAAAAATCATGTACTATATGTAAAATTAGGAAAAAAGCTACAGCTGAATGCTGCGCTTCAGCATTGAATTATAATATTCTAATTGGGAAGATACGTGTTCAATCTTTGGTACTTGCAGTCTGAAAAAATTATTTACGAATAATTAAATATAAGAAATAATTCTAAGACCACCAATGATCGGTATTTGGCAATACTTGAAGCAACTGTATGGTCAGCCAAAAATTATTAAAACTAAAAAAAAAATTTGTTGTAATTTCACCACTGGTCGATTGAAAAAATCTAAATTAAAAAAAATAGTTTATGTTAAGAATTTAGTTTCTTTTATCAAAACGGAAAATTGAAAATAAGTTTAATTTACAATATTTATTAATTATTTGTACATAATTAATAAGCATATTAAATATTGTAGTAACTATAATAATAATTACAGATACTGTAAATAATATTAATTATTTATAATATTTAAAACGATATTAGTGTAATCCTGTCTGTTTCCTGCTACTTCTAAAAGTTATCGAATCGCTATTAAGCAAGTCAACTCTCAAATATCACATACCTACGACATAGGTTTGCTTCCTAAATTCCGCCTTCCTTTCTTCCTTGCCATGTAGTATTAATTGGAGTAACTATTACTTGGAATTCCGCATTATATTGGATTGTCAGAAATTACGTCTCTGCTATTATTTACTTTTTAAGATACTTTTGAATATCAAATCTTAAAAGCTTTCAGTTCATTTATGGATTTTCATTGTCCAAACTTCTGTACCGTACAAAAATGTAAACAGTACTTTGCATCTAAGAAATTATTAACCATGACCATTGTTTAAAACTATAAAAAATTAAATAAACTGGCTCTAGAGGTCTTTTATGAATATGCGTAAATAAATATTTATAATGGATGAAGACTTTAATGCAAAATACACACAACAACAAAGGATTGTGAGATATATAGAACAGCACATAAACAGGTCGTGAAATTTTTTCCAACCATATCAACCAAATTCCTGAAGTCATCATTTTTTCTGTCTCTAAAAAATTTCCGATAATTATATTCATATAGATCATTCGCCGATTAACTTAACCTTAAGTAAAACGATTTTTATACCATAAAAGAATAAAATATGATACTTTATAATAAATTCATTCATTAGAAGTTCTTAAAAAATGTTTTAAGAATAGTAACAGCATAATATATCTCATTAAAATAATTCTGCTAATAGAAAATTGGAAAATGTAATTAATAGATTTATATAGGAAATGCAAGAAGCTGAAATCAAGAAAGGCAACGAACGAATTGAAAAAATCGTACAGCTACGAACTAAATCGTACAACTTATAAATATGAAAGCACAAGAACTCAATTTAATTACTGCAAAACGTTTAAAAAGTTAACAAAAATAAGTCTGAAGAAGTTAGCTAATATCTTTTATTTCTTTCATCGAAGCAATCAAACTACATATCAAATCTTTAGTATGTGCCTAAATTAATAATGATTCGTAAATTTGAAAAAGTTCTACACATTGTGCCATCATATCGGTTTATATCAGTACCTCAAATATCAAAATTATTCAAAAAGCTTTTTTCGTATTTATGTTTAGCAGTTTTTCTCAATTTAGCACAAACCTCCAAAAAAGGTTAAAGGCCCTAAGGTTTAATTTCAAAATAAAATCATGGCTTTCATTTTGATGAAAGATTGCACCTTATTGGAATGCTATATACAGAGCCCTTAGAGACTTTAAAGTGAAGCAAAGAAATTAATATTTTCAAAGAACCGAAGTTGGAAATCCATAAGAAGTTCTCCCGGGCCATTATTTTGTCTACTGCTTGCACGTGAGGTGTCTACAGCAACAAACAGGTACCTATAAGTGTATGTAAGTTACATTTCCATATAACATAGCAACCCTTGAAAATTACAATAATATAATAATTAATAAAATTACAAATAGTAACCGATACAGTTGTATAATGAATCATAAAATTGCGGATCAGATAAAATGTATTATTCATCAACAGAATAATTGAGTATCACCATCGATGAGCGAGTTTCCCTTGTAAAAAATAGCGAAATACCCAGGTATAATTCTTTACGCAGACTTACGATGTAAACATCATATGAAAAAATAAGCGGAACTAAATCATAGATTGTGTAAAATGGGTAAACTTGTTCGTTGGAACTCAAAACTGTCTTTTATAGCAAAACCCTACCATATAAAGGTCCTCGGGGGTATTAAAAAAGCACCATGGTACAGAAATGCTTACACATGATTACACTGCTATATCAATATACTGACAGTTAAAGAGGAAATTGGGAAACAAACAGTAACACACTTCCATTGGCAAAAGAGGCATGTAAACAAGGATGCACGTTGTCTTCGCAAAATTTTAGACTTCCTCGACGGTAACTTGAAAAACTCCAAGATCGTTTTGGAAATTACTCAAAGGCCAACATTTGACTCTTATTAACAAAATTAACTGTTCGTTAGTTAAGTCACTAGTTGTAGTTCTATCAAATCTTATAAATTTTATAAAATTTTATGTTGTAATATTATATTGTTTAAAATAAAAAAAAAATTTATTTTATGTTTGAAGTATTACATTCAATAAAAACTATTTCTACACAACTAACGAACTGAATAATAAATTATTATGGACATTCATAATAATAAATACAATAAAACTTAAGCCATAAAAGAATATTGACCATTAGTATAAACTTAAAATAAATAAATTTATAAATAAAATATTAAATACAATATTTTTAAAATATAGATTTATATATTAATGCATTTAATATAAAAATTTTCATTTGATACTAAAAAGAAACAAGAAAAATTAAAAAATCATACAAATGAAACAACAAAATATTTTTTTAAACTGCTTAATATATAACTTAATATATATTTTCATTTATTTTATAATAAAATATTGTTTAGTTTTTTTTATTTTAATATTGTAGTTTTTTTTTTTTGTGAAATATAACTTTTTGTAATTTGAATTATTTCTGTTCGAGATAATGAAAATAGAATATGTACCGTTTATAGTTTAACATGTATTGTATTTATTGGTGTTTTTTGTTTGCTTCCAACTCAAATTGATGTCAAACAAGTTCTTCACTAAAGTCGGATTTCTTTTTTTTTTTTTGTATATTTATTGCTTTTTTGAACGTTATTTTTAGTATATTTCTATATGTATTTCGTCAAATTTACTTTTGCCTTCATCAGGGGAATTAGTAATAAGTTCTTCATATTTTATATTTATATTTATCGTAAAGGTTTAACTTAAAACATTTCATATTTAAGAAGAGTGAAGGCGGTATTGAAATTATATCTTCACATAAAAAATCTATTATTGAATGTGTAATTCTGATATATAATTCAAAGAAATTATTTCCTTATCTATGATATTTGAATTTTGTGCAATTTCAAGTGTTTTTTGTACTATTTAGTGATGTTGGCCACTCTATCTAACAGCGAAGTTAGGAATGAAAACAAAATATGGGAACAGTGAATTCAGTTTGTTGCTTTCTGTTGTGTTGTATGATTGTGCGGGTTATAAAGCAAGCAGCTGTGTTGTGACTTGTTCAGTTGTTTGGCATTAAGTTGTTGTTGTGAAGCTAGCTAAAATTTATGAAAGCAAAGCATAACAAGAGCGTAAATAATGAATTTTACATGAAAATATTGTGCACAATATAAATTGTATCTTTTGTTATAAATTGTATCTTAATAAAATTAGTTAAAATGGATGAAGAAAATTTAGTTGATTCTTCTGTGGAAAGTAATTCAACGGAAAATTTAAGTTCATTAAATGGCTCTACGGAACAGTTATCGAATTGGCCAAGACGCAAACAACTTCTCAATAAAATTTTTATATTAGAGCCAGCTGTTTTGCTGATTTTTATGGCCAAAACTCTATCAGGTCTGTTGTTTGGTTGTAAATTTGTGTTAATGAAAGTTTAATAACAAAATTATATTAACAAATATAGGATCAGTTTATCAAAATCAAATATTATACCAAACGTGTATTGCAATATTTCATTACGACGAATCTGATTGTACGCCCCTTCTAGGTGTTGTAAGCAACAACTCGGAGGAAGCTCATGTAAGTATAATCATATATTAATTTTGTTTTAACGGTCAACATACAACATACAAGATAGAATATGCAATAGAAAAGTATTGAAGCCTTAGACTATGGTATTTAAAACAAACTTACTAAAATTAACACCAATTAAGTTTACTAACTGAAATATATAAATGTTGGAACACATATTCGAAATACAATAATACTTTTTATCTGAAATAAAAGCGTTAACTGTGGTTAACAAACGTATATGATTTTACATAAATTAATTATAATTTTAGCGACGCAAAAGCAAAAGCAAAAAATAAAGCGGAAAGCAAAATTGCTTTTAATATTAACGACTACTTCCTTTTACAATGAGTGCTCCCTAGACATTGTACGAGTAAAGAACAATTTATATCAAAGTTTAAAAATGTTATTTATAAAATTTTTCAAAGATTTTAAAATATATACATACATATGTACATGGTCAACGGTATTGAGCGGTTTTGGGCTAGGCTAAGGCCCCTATGCACTGCGACCAGCTTAGTCTATTGTGCATCCCTCTGTATTTAGACATTCAGTATCTCGAGGAATCGAATCATTTCCTTCGGAGGGAGTTTTCGAAGGTCTTCATCCTCTAGTTGGTATGCACCTAAAATTTTGTTTCTTCTGTAGCGTAGTGCATCATAGTTGGTGATTCTGCAAATATTAGTGTCGCATATACCTATTTTGTGTAATCAAAAAGTGATATGCTAGCCAAAGAGATAAATAAATCGTAGGCTCCGTATTTTAGGTCGAAAAAAGGAGTATTAAAGAAAATGTAATGTATAAATCGTATAAAATTGAATGAAAAATGTATAAAATCGAATGCAATGTTTTTTTTTTGAAGAAAAGAATTCAACTTAATTTAATACTTACTACTTAAGTAGGTGGGAAGTAAGCGTTTTAGACGTTTTTTGTGCCCTAGTTCCAAGACAGGGAGTCTTCTCATTACCAAATTTGTGCGCAGCAGCAATTTAGATATATGGTTAGTACTGCTTTTTTGCATTGCTTCATGTATAGTAGGGATTTTCAGGTCTTTGTGAATTTCGTCTTTTATGAGGTACTATCTAGCATCTACTATTATTGTTCGCAGAATTTTTGGTTGCAGCCTCTGAATAGTTTTTATATTTGTCTTACAGGTGGTTTCCCATATTTCAATTCCATATTTCCAAATCGGAACAATAACGGTTTTGTACATTAGTTGTTTGTTTTCAATTGACAGACTGGAATTTTTACCAAGAAGTCAATATAGATCTGCAAATTTTCGTTGCGTTTCCTTTTTCAGGTGTGTGGCGTTCTTGCAGATTGGTATATTAATGTTTACAATTTTCAGTTTTTGTTCTTCAAATTTCCTGTTGGTGAAAATAATTTAGACAGTTTTTTCGGCGTTTATATTAATCCCCAAGGTGTCGGATCAAATCATCACTTCGTTTAGATGATTTTGAAGGTTTGTAGTTGCTTTTGTGATGTCATGGTTTGTTGATAAAAGAACAGTAAACGTCGTCAGTAAACGTTACAGTTAGTATTTGCCCACTTTTTGGCTTAGGAATGTATGCAGTGTATAGTAGATACAAAAGCGGGTCTTATACACTCCCTTGATGGAGCATCATGTGGGATGTGTCGTTTTGATATTGCACGAAGAAGTATTTATCTTTGAGGATTCTTCAGTATCCTCACTGAAGATACTTCAGTATCTTTGAGTAATTAAAAATCGGCAGGCAATATTCTTGATAGTTTGTAAAGCAATCCTTCGTGAAAGACGCTGTCGAATGCTTTGGCTACATCTAAAAACACATCCACAGTGGTCTTCTTAGAGTCTATATTCATTGCAATTTTGTTAGCCAATCTACAGAAATATATATTATCATTTTATATGAGATTTATTGTTGTAACTGAATTGCTTTACGTGACCGCTTTATATTATGCGATCATGTATTCTTTCCTTAGAATTTGAAAAAATATTCTGATACACAATTAACAAGTGGCATACGTTCTATTAAATTAGGATCTCTCAACGGGAAGTCTTAATCCGGTTTTTCTATTCATCTAACTACCATAAGTCCACTATCCATTTAGGTATATTAGTCTACTATTTTAGTCTGAACATAATAATTGAAAAACATAATAACATAGTAAAGTTTTTGAAGTTTTGGTCAAGGAAGCATGTAAGATTTGGAGACGTCGCGTAATGTATTGATACCATAGCAGTCGAATTTATCGCATAGTGTAATCCATGACTCTAGTGCCAGCAGATTCCAAGTCTTCTGTGAGTCGAAGACTTAAATTTAAGTTCGGTCTTTTTCTTTCTAAAAATCGTACATTATTTTCGAACAAATAATTGTTCTCGTACACTCATCGAGAGAGTTCAACAACTCTCTCTTGCGTGAATCATATTGTTTATACGTAAATATCCAATAGTATTTATTATATTTTACTTTTATTTATTTGTTTAATAATATATACAATATGTTGCTCATTGGATTTTATTGGACACCTGCAAGTAATTTAATACGTTATTTTATATAACAATGTTGGCAATTAAATATTACAAAATGGGTGTATACATATGCCTTATTTGTTTATATGATTTTTAGTTTTAAGTTGCTTTTCGACATAAAATATTAGACTGAGTCATGAGACATATCTTGATTTTTATCGTTATACTTGTTTAACTATCATAAATTCCATTTCTCTGATAATTGATTGCAAAAAATTTTGTATATTAGGCCCACATTATCTAAAAGTTCAATGATTCATTTCTTTGTTTTATTTAAAAACAAATTATATATGGCTAAGTTATTACGATTCTCAATTTGATAATAAAAGTAGGGTGCATAATTTGACAGAAAAATGCTCGTGTCATTATTGATAAGAAAACCTTGTCAGAAAAAAATAGAAATTAGTTGAAGGTTTAAGCTGTTGCTGTAAATGTTATTGTTTAAACTGATTATGTATTTCATATTTAGAGCAATTTTATTAAGTATATTTATAATAATTGTAATGTAAACAAATAAAATGTGTAGTTGCAAATCAATTAAATCAGAACAAATACTATATATAATGTATAAGTATATACGACTTCAATACAATAATTAGATCTTTTAATCTAAATTATTAATATTTAAAGCGAAGATTACACGCAAACTATTTATGTCTACTCTTGGTGCTATAGATTGTTCTGACCTTCTACTTCTAATTTTCATTACATGATTGCATCTGTATGTGGATTAACTGTATAAAAATTTCTTCGTATCCTGATTTGTATTATATTTGATATTTTAAAACTCAATGAACAGTAATCAAATGGATTAAAAGACTAGGTCGGTTTAAAGAACTACTTTCAAATTGAAAAAATATATCTACTGTCATATGATTTGGACCACAGATAATTTTCACTTTACTTCCATGCTGTTACTCTTGATAATATACTTTTTAACCCCAATTGGAGAACATATTCAAATGATTCTTTTTTGAGAACCCTGATTAAAGTGTATGCTTCAAAATACACTTTGATGGCCTAAGTTTTAGATACAGAAGATTATAAATAAGCTTTAAGTGCCAAATAACAATTAAGTTATTAAAGATGAAGAATTAGATATCCTACTTTTTAGTACCGTAAGTATACGACAAAATTTTCACTGTCTGTAATATATGGTGTATGTGACAAATGTTATTTTAAATATAAAGTATCAATATATGACTTATTTCAAAAATTATAACTATTATCACTGTAACATAATATTAGTCTTTAATTTACCCGCGAAAATAGTATAATATTCAGTTATTTTAATTAGTCTTATCAAGTGTAAGAGCCTGATATTCTGAATAATATTTTTCCTGTATTTTATTATTTTTTTATTTTGCACTCTTTTTTTTCTCCCAAAACACAGTTATTTTTATAATATATCCACCTATTTTTAATAGTTTTTAGTGATTAGAATGTAGTACTCCAGACGAGTTGGACTCTGCAACGTGGGAGTGCTCCCAGTATTTGGTATGATTTATGACTATAAAGCTTTAAAGACATAAACACATAAAAAGCATAGGATAATCTTTATATGCAATATGAAAAAACTTGTAGGCAATGATTCATTATTTTAAAATAGGTACTCAATTAACAATATGTTAAATAAATGTATTTGTATATTCAAATTAATTATTCAAAATATTTAGATGTAAACATATAAGAATATAGAACATATTGTTACTTACTTAAAACTAAAACTGGAATCAAATTACAATATCCACGAAATTCAGTATATTCACAAGTAATATGTGGGAGACTTCCTAAAACATTTGTAAACAATTCATTCGATTCCATTCATTTTATTGTTGTTATTTCTATGAATTTACTTAGTTTTAATAGATATAGCGCAGTGAACGTTTTTGAATAAAGAAACTTTAATCTCGAAAGATAAACACAAAATAGCAATTCATTAAATGCGTAAAAATACATATACTAGTCTAGTCAATTATTTTGTTTACTTTAAAGAATTGTATAAAAAATAAATTTACACATTGAGGAAATTAAAAACTGAAACCCCGAGCTATATTTCTATAACTGTATTCCACCACGAGCATAGACTCGCTTGATAAAATTCCAAGATATTTTTATATCCGCTTAAATATGAAATATTGAAATTAGGTTGAGTTTTTTTTCCAAATTAATGTAGTTTTTTCACTTTATAAGCTTTTGGGTTCCATAGAAGTCTTGCGTGTTAAGTTAAGTTGGATCTTATGAATTTCAGATGATGTCCAAACCAGTTAAAATATCTGCAGTTGTTCTCAACGTAAAAGTCTGTTGGCTTGTATGTTAAATCAGATCATAACTTAATATTTTTTGCGGTCAACATATTCTCAGAATGCTGCAAAGGCGTCTGTTAGAGAAGCTGGGAAGTTGTCACTACCATATGTGTCAGTCTTAAATCCGTTTTAAAGGCACATAATACAGCTCATGCGTTAGCTATGTGGTAAACTAATTGTCTACATTCATAAACCTGTTAATGCAGCGCAGCTATTGGCGTAGCCAAAGGGGGATATATGAATTGCTGATCTCCTAAAAGGGTGACGAAAACAATATTTCATGATAAAAAGTACTACTGTGGCGAATGGTCCCACTTAATGTGATTGATTAATAGTGAATTGGGCAAAATATTCAGGGAGTTGTGCTGTAGTAACACACGAATTTTATGGAATAAAGATATTTGAGTTGAACTTTATCGAAAACTATAGTGAAATGCAGTTTTTTCGGTTTTTTTCAGATTTTATTGTGGTGTTGTGTATGGGAATATTGTAAGGAACAATATATTCCCATTTATTTTCTCAAATTTATAGATGTAAGATGAAGAGTACAATTATACTTTTTACATTGTTTACCTTATTGATTACTTGCAAAAGGGAGGAGATCCAAACGGTCCGTTTTACGGATATTATTATTGTTCCCTCTATATTTCTTATTAGATTATTGGTTTGTTAATAAAAGGACTTAAAAAGGACTTAGTCTGTGCGCATAATGTATTTAATGATACAATTTCGAAAAGGCACTTCTTACTTTAATTATCTGTTAAATTAAAAAACTTATCTCTCATCTATTTATGCTTATCTTATGTGTATTAGACATAAGATATACCTTAAATAATATTGTAGGTCGAAGATATCCAGTTTAAATGGCTGTAATATCGCATATTTTTATCTATAATTATGTGAAAAAATTAATGGTTTTTAGTGAATAATAAAGAATATATTGTTTCTTCGAACTGAAAAATAGTCTATTGCTCCTATCAATAGTTAATGTAATAAAAAAACATTAAGTTACATTATATACTGTATTTTGTTATCAATATCTGAATTATAGACATCATTAGTAACCAATGTAGTCACCAACAGTCATAAAAGTCAAATTGTAAAAGTAAGAAATATTGATAATACTAATAACGTATTTAATATAATATCAAACTGATTATTTATTGGGATTTAAAATGCATTATAACTAAGCTATAAGCTAGATAAATCTGCTATTAAGATTTTTTAAAACAAGTCTATACATGAACACATTGTATCTGTATTTTATACTGCGTTATAAATTTCCACTGATCAATTTTTTAATGTACATTAACAAACGTGATTTAATGGAGTGCAGTGCATGTATCTTAATTGCATTAAATTAAATTAAGTTAATAAACTGTTAGTATTGTGTGTGCCCCTTCTGTAAATTAAAAAGAATTTTTCCGATATATTAACACAAACGAAACTAAGCAAATGCTTTGAGAAATGTATCTGCAAAAAATGTATCGGTATTCAGATGTACATATCTATTGCTACAAGTACAATACTTTTTTAAATATATGTTATGTTAGACGATAAGAGAGCAAAAAATATTTTGCTTTAATAATTGTATGGATAATATATATGAGTATATATATGTATATATATAATATGTACGGAGCTTATAAATTAACTTATTCATTTATTTTTTTTTATAGTAATTATTGTGAGGCGACAAAAGTTGCTTTATGTTTCAGGTTACCGAAATAAAGCAGACCTTAAAGTTTTTTAATATAATTTCAATTATTTCTTTATTTATAATCTATAATTATTAAGCTATTTGTTTATTATTGTTTTGTAATAATAGAAACAGTAATTGTAATATTATTTTCTTATCTATTCAAAATAGCAAATTGAAACTGAAGTACAGCCTGTGGTTGCTCGCATACTCATGACTCGCTCTTTATTTGAAAGTATATTTACAGCATTTGTAAGTTTGTTTATTGGAGCGTGGTCAGATAAATTCGGAAGACGTCCGGTTATGTTGATAACATTAGCAGGTATCTATCATGATTAAATAAAAAATTAAATATCTAATACAAATAATAAATTCGGTATAAATTTGTTTTGTTTTGTTTATAGATCTCTCTGAAACTTTACAGTTAATTTTATTGCTACTAAAAAATATTCTTTAAGAGTGTCGTTTAAAAGTATTATGCCTCTAATTTAGGTCACATTCTAAAGATGTAACAGTGCTCGATTTTACTCTTAGTCAGGTCATCTTATTTTCTTAGTAAAAACGCAGGCTTATCAGGAGCCAGTCACATAATTGGCAGTTTTTGTCAATAGATATACCTTTTAAATATAGATCAATTATAAGTTTTCAATGATCAGAGAGAAAATTCTACAGATATTTGACGAATGTTGGAAGTGGTAGTTGGTGTTTAGAATTAAAATTCTGTAAGTTCTTTTGCAGTATTAATAATTGCTTTATTGTTTTCAATTCTTTCTGAAGCTGAAGGTGCTCACCATTTTATTGCAGAATAAAGCCTGTACTAGTCTAAAGTTAACTTTTTATAATGATTCAATTATCTTGCACTATATTCCTTATATAAAATCACATAGGCTTAAAGAATTTGTTTAAAAAATTATGCTACTCTTTTAAAATCTTTTCACTGTACTGAACTGTACTTTCACTAGAACTATGTATTATAATAGACAACATTTCATTTTAATTAGACTAAATTTAAGTGTTTAGACACCTTAAGTGCTTAATTTTATGTCTTAGATCAGTTTTTATGTTTAAAAATGTTTAAAGGTTTAAACTCATCCAATTATATATCACGATTATAATTATATAATTTTTTGCAGGTTCTTTTTTAAGTTATTTAATATTTGGCGTGTTAGTAATTATATCTAATAATGTTGTACTGACGCCCTGGATTTATTTAATATCATCGATACCTGCAGTATTATGTGGCGGTAACTGTGCTTTAATTGCTGCAGTCTATGCCTATATAACGGATGTTGCAACTATTGAAACAAGAGCAAAGCGGTATGTAGTAGATCCGGAGAAAGTCACAAAATAATATAATACATATTTATATATAATTTAAAAAAGTTTTAAAAAGTTTTAAATCCTATCTGCATGTGAACCTATACAATTTTGCTCAATGTAGATATACATATAGATATTGATTTTGCTTGTACCATATTTATACTTCATATAACATATGTAAATTATTTTTCAGCATGATTTCGAATGATGCTTGTCTGGGTCTTGGAATAATAATTGCTAGTATATCAGTAGGCTATATATATGCTGCTACAAATGTATATGTTATATTCTTTATGTCAGCTGCCTTATATATGCTTGCATTCTTATATGTATTTTTCCTTGTTTTAGAGGACCATACAACAGAGCTCTTTATGGTATGACATCTCTAGCAATTGAATTATTATTTAATTATTATGATATTGTTCCACATAATTTCAGACGAAATTGCGAGAATTCTTTCGTTTTGATTTAGTGAAGGATATTATGCGCACATGTCTTAAAAGACGACCCCATTATGATCGTGCCCTGATTTGGTTAATTATAATAACGTTATCCGCTGCTGTTTTCACTATGGGTAAGTATTATTTATACGAGTATAATATCAAATATTTATAATTATATATGTGAAATATGTGAAAATATTTCAGAGGGTGATGCTACTGTTACTTATCTTTTTATGCGACAGAAATTTAATTTAACTCTTCAGGATTTTAATTTCTTTAATACTATTCGCATGGTGGTACAAATTTTGGGATGCATAGGCGGTATGGTTATATTAAGAAGGGTAAATATTTTATTTAATATTAAATAAAGATACAATATAAATTATTATACATTTATTTAGTTACTTAAGTATTCGGTTATAACGATGTCACTAATAGCTCTGGGCTGTTGTGTATTGGAGAGTGTTGTACGGGCTACAACAGCGAAATGGTGGGAAATGTATTTAGGCGTAGGTTTGGGTTGTATGAATAGCTTATTGTTTCCTATGGCTAGAGCTATATTATCATATGTAACACCTACTGATGAAATTGGTTAGTTTACTGTTACTGCTTTAGTGCTACTTTATTCATTTGAATTTTGTACTAAAAAATTATAAAAAATTACTTTAGGTAAAGTTTTTGGATTGACTGTATCTTTAGAAGCACTAACACCATTTTGTGCAGCACCACTTTACACTTTCGTCTACAACGCAACTTTAGATATAAATCCAGGTGTCTTTAACTGGATAAGCGGTGGCTTATACGTCCTTTGTTTTATATGTGTGAGGTATGTACTATGTTACCTATAAGAAATTTCATCACACCATCACACCTTTTTTTATTATTTTTATTTTTTTATTTTTATTTAGTACAATCTTTGGTATTAAATTATCGTTTGGCAGTAGCAACGTGTATGAACAGCTTGGTAGCTGATTACAAATTAGGTGATTGCAGTATCTTGTATTAATTCTAATGTGATATTACCAAAAAGCCATTTATATCAAATCTAGTACTAAGTTATATGTGTATAAAAATGATCAGTAATGGAGAAATGAATAGTGCATAACTAATACAACATTATATACAATTATTAAATAGAAAATTACATTCTATTTTCATATTAAGCATTAGAAAAAGTGGGCATAAAATAACCGATGTGATGTATTACAGTAGAACGGATCTACAGATTTATCTACATGAAATACCACATAATGTACTGAGTATTTACAGCGATAAATTTTATAAAGAGCTGTTGAAAACCTCTATCAAGAATGAATTTTAAAAACCACATAAGACAATACAACTTATAAACTATTCACGGAAAGCTGTCATTAGAAGGATACTATACATTTTTTCATCTAAGTAGTATTGTTTTTGAATTCATATTTAAATCACATTAAATCACGTCTCGAAATTCTTAATAGATTGTGAATTTTGATTCATAAGTACAACTGATGAATCTGTACTGTTTAGTAGGTACAACTGCATCTAAGTTCGATATTCGAATTGCTACTGCAACCATATCGGAATTTTTATGTATTTTGGATTAAAAATGCAAACTACTTAGGATAATTAACATCTGTGACTATTAGAGTTCATTCGGAGCTATTAATTCAGCTATACCGTAGAGCAAAATAATTTATCTTTAGCTGACAACAAATTTTAAAATGCTTAAGTGCATTTTTATTGGGACATTAATAATTTTGCTTAGCTATGCAAGTACTAGTCACTAAATAAATTTTAAATAAATAATGATAAAGAATGAATTGTCTAAAAAATGTAAAACTATTTTAGAAAAGCAACCGATTTTTGATCATAAAATCTGAATGCAGCAAGTATTTCTGTTGTATATTTGTGTATTATTAATCCGTTTATTTATAAAATATATATTTAAAATTATGAAAATTTTTTCATGTTATTTAACATGCGATATAATTTAATGAATAGGAAAAATATTAGAATATCTAGATATAGTTACAACAAGGAAGCTTCGAGCAATATGATATAAAATATTATCTGGAGAAAGTTATAAATTTATAATATAATCAATTGCACACTGCCAAAAAGAAAAGCACTAGTATAGTAATGACACTATAGAAAAAAATTACTGTAAATACAATTTTTTATACAATATTAATGTATGTATATATATTTATAAATGTAGACATTTATATTTATATTGAAAATGTACATAAAAATAGATATTTTATATTTTAAAGTATGTAACCAATTAAAGTATGCATGTAATCTACAGTGAATTTTTATTAATTATGTATTATTATTATCATTGTACCAATTTATATAGTTATACTTAACTGAATTACTAAAAATAAATGAAAATACATATTTTACGAAGTTTATATTTATATTATAGAACAGTCAGATACTACTAGAAACTATGGAATTAGTTTTAACATTAAGCAATTACTTATTATTATATCTTATATAAACGTCACATTTGAAGATTTTGACTCTGTTTGCAGTTAATTGTACAATGGTATCCGTTTTGTTGTCCCGTAAGTAAACGTAGATAAAATATATTTGCATCTTTGACTGTGACACAAGATTCACTTCGACACAGAATTATTTTAATTGAGAACCATTCTCGTCTTCCTTTTTATATTATTTCAAACAACCCCCATCTCTCTCTGTCTTCTTCTACTCGCTCTTCCTTAAAACACCTAATCCTAACCTACATATGTATTCGAATCGAATTGTAATTGCTTTCATTTATATATAGACTTATATATCCCTTCATGGATCACAGTAACAACTCACATTTGTAATTGAAATTCCAGTAAAATATTAACTTTAATATGTTGTTCGGACGTTTGGACGTTAACGTCCTCTACGAAACATCTTATGGTAGTGTATCTTATTAAAGAAAAAAAAAAAAAAAACAGCAACAGTTGGACCTAACTTTATGTATGTTCGTTCTTTAGCGTAGTCCTACGAAAAAAATCCAGTGGTGATAACTCCAATACCTAACTTACATCGCTAAAACGTGAAATTACACGACTGGAAAATTTTTGGCATTACAAAGCCAAAATTGAACGTGTTCTGTATCGTACTGAAGTATCGTTCTGTTGAGATCAAAATGTAATTAATACACTTGGATCACAGCACATATAATATTTTGTTAAATATACGTAAAAAAATATATTAGTATTATAAAAATCGGTATCTGTGTAATAAATTTAATATTTACAAATATTGTATAAAACTCTTTGTCTGTTCACATACTTTTGAAGTAAAAGCCAAATGTTCCTCTTTAGGAAAATCAACTTACTTAACTTTAGTATGTATTTTTTATTAATTTTAATTTTAATTATGACAAATAAAGCTTGTACTGATGTGGTAGATAAAAGCATAACTTGGATAGACAGAGATTTGGTTCAAGGCTTTTATAAACTTTTATTTGACAAAGTAAATTTATGGTGGCTAAGATTGTCGTAGTATATATACATATACTATTGTTCGCAGTCATTGTTTGCACAAATTATTGTTTTTTGGTAGACTATATCACATAGAGAAATTAACATTTCATTTATTATATTTGCTACTTCATTAGCTCAATCCAAATAATCTCACTATCCGAGACAATTTATTTAGAAATTGCTTCAGTATATAATTTTCGCACACTGACAGTAAAAAACGTTATTTATTTATTGTTCTGTTCATATTTATAACACTAATCAGCTGTTTTTTAAATAAATTTGATAAAATTTGTCTTATAAGATAGATTTTTAGTAGGAGAATAGTAACTTTTACTTGAATTTCCCTATAAGTACTAATGGGAACAATTCCTATTATTGCTATTTCAATGTGTACGTTCAGTGTTTGAAAAGAAAATGAAAATATTAAATTATTCAATTTTAGAAAAATGGCATCACTGTTTACTCTGTTTGATGAGTACTAAATAAATTTTAACACGAATGTCATTTGCGTTGGAATTTCAAAGCAAAGTGGACCTGTTTTCGCGGTGTTGATTTGAAAAACGCGTGGTAAATTGTGCTGTAAATGAGATTCTAAATTGGATATTTTTAATTAGAAGTGAAAGGAGACAATCATGATTGCAAAAGATATGGCACAAATGAAATCACTGGCGATAAAACTATTTGAGATAAATGCATTCAAATTTGGCGATTTTAAAATGAAAGTCGGTATAAATTCGCCAGTTTATTTTGATTTACGGGTCATCGTTAGTTTTCCAGAAGTAATGGTGAGTTGAAAAATGCGATCTTTAATTCTGAACAAAGAAAATAAAAATTTTGTTGAGCTTAGCAAACAGTCTCGGATTTGTTGGTATCATATATCAAAGAGCAACAGCTGACAGCGAAGCATGTGTGCGGTGTGCCGTACACAGCGCTGCCTTTGGCAACACTTGTCTCTGTTCAACAGAATACGCCAATGCTTGTGAGGCGCAAAGAAGCCAAAAACTATGGTACAAAAAAAATAATTGAAGGAATTTTTAATGCTGGAGATACGTGTCTCATTGTTGAAGATGTAGTTACATCTGGATCAAGTATTCTAGATACTGTTAACGATCTTACACGTGAGGGCATTGTCGTAACAGACGCTGTAGTTGTTGTTGATCGGGAACAAGGCGGAGCTGGTAACATTGCTAAACATTCTGTGCGTATGCACTCACTATTCACGTTATCGTTTTTACTGAACACTTTGCTTGAAGCTGGAAAAATTGAACGAGACACCGTGGATGCGGTAGCAAAATATATAGCGGCATGTCAGATCAATAGCGATGGAACTTTTGCAAACGACAAGCCACAAGTTGGTAAGAAAAAATGTGATCTTTTAATTATAGTTTATTAATATTGTTATTAATTCAATATAGTTTGAAATGCTAGTCGTTATTGTTATAGTAGTTTGTGGAAAAGTATAGAACAGGAAACATGACTAGAACTAAAAGGGTTGAGATAAGTGTGAGTGACGGTAGGGGAAAAAGAAGAATATAAAGTTTTTGAACACAGAAAAGGTTAGATTACACTTTAAATGACTATATTTAAATGACTAAATTACAAATACGAATTATATGGTATGGTAAAGATATGGTAAAGTGTAAAAGAGTAGGAAATTGTTTGGGAACAAAGTTGAATTAAGGATGCGTGGGATTTGAATTAAAGCTAACAAGGGTTAAAACGAGAGAGACCTACTCCGTTTTAACTTTAGTGGGACGAAACCAAAAATCAATTGGACCCAAATTAGTGCGTACATTAGAATATAAAAACAGATGGGCAGTTAGAACACTCATCCCCATGATATAAGGTTTCCAGCAAAGGGCCCTCACTTCATCCATGCAAGCATTTAATGTTCAAATTTGCTCATGTGCATATATATATTATTGACTATAATAAAATCAGAAAATGTCAAAAGCTCTATGTAGAAGTTTCAAAATCGGGATAAATTGCAACAATAAATATTAGAAGTGCTAAGTAATACCACTAAAAACGGTTAAAACAATTATCAAAGACGAACACAAGGAAAGTTTCGTACAACAATTCGAAACGTGTACAGCTGCTATAGAATATTGTGCCAAATATATTGAAAAGAACACATTAGCCACCATTGGTGAAAAAAAAGTAACGGTTAACAGCACCATAAGTGTTAAAGTGTTGAACTAATATCCTCAAAAATTGTGACTCAACCAAGGAACTGAACGTTATGTTTAAGAATTTCAGAGAAATGCTTCCAAACGAGTATAAATATTGATAATGTTATAAAAGATGAAAAGAAGAACGTAATTTGCATTTTGGTAATCTTTTCCATTTAATAATTTTGGTTATATTTATTTATCTTGCACATTAATAACAAAATGATTAAAGTTATTCTTTTCGTTTGTCTTGAAGACAAAAATGAGTGAAAAACCGACTTGATAATTATATATAATTAATGAACTTTTACTGTTAACTTAGCACAATATAAAAAAATATAGTTAAATATATATATATAGGTTGTCTTTTAATTTTACCAAATAATGATGACTGTTTTTGTAATTATGTTATCTCTATCATTGTATCTTCCTCGATATTTAAGAGGCCAGTCACAATGAGTTAATAAACTTAATAGAATTTTATTATTTTATTGCGCTTGAAACGGAGCTATGTAGGTATTATTGCCTAATATTTGAAGTAGATATGCGACGTTTATCATTTTATGATATCCCAGGCACCCGTATTTATTTAATATGTACAGGTAAATTAATTAAGTGGCTTATCATTACACTACATTATAGAATGCAGTTATTTAAATTAAATTAATTTTATTTTTATCTCACTGAATTAGTTTTTTATTTTTGTTGTTTTCTAATTTTTTGCAAAACATATCTGAAGTAAATTAAACGGTTATTGCTTCTGATAAAAATTATATTTTTCATGAAAAATAGATTTATCTGACCAAACATATTTAGTTTGGTTAGATATGATCATGATTCACATTCTCGTTAGATATGGCATATTTTATTATTTGTTTTTTAAATAAAATCACAATAAAATGTATGTATATATATTTAACAAATAAATAAATTTAATTGCAGTTAATGATTTTGTTCGCACAAGAATGCCTTACGAAAGTCGTGCCAACTTGGCTAAGTGTGAACTAGCAAAGCAACTCTTCCTTTTGATGTCCACCAAGAAGACAAATTTATGCCTGGCAGCCGATTTAACAAAATGTGAGGAAATTTTGGATGTTG